GGGATTACTCTGTACCAGCACATAGATAGATATCTACTGGGGATACTAAAATCTTATCCTGTTAATTGACTTGCAGAATTTGATTGTTGGGGCAGGTATTCTGATGCAACAGGTCAAGCCACTCTTGGAGTACCCACATCCCATGTCAGAGTGCATGGTTTGAGTTCCAGCTACTCCATGCTTCCCAACCAGTTTCCCCTTAATGAGTCTGGCAGGGGGCAATGGATGACAGCACATGAACTTGGGTTCCTGTCACCATCATAGGAAATCTGGATGCAGCTGCTGGCTCCTGGTTTGTCTTGGCCTAGCACTGGCTATTGCAAGCATTTGGGGAGTGAAAAATCTCTTGCTGTCGCTTTGCATCTTTCTCTCTCCCCCCCCCTTCACATAAATAAGCAAATCTTTTAAAAAGTATTTGATTTTTAAATATGTAATATTTATTACAAAAGGCCATTGGGTTTAGATAAATAAGTCATATAAGATTATTGGATAGGTCTAGAAATACATGGCTGTCAGACAGGAGCATTAACCATTAAATGTATTTTTAAAATTTTCAAACTTTTGAGGCCATCATTGTGGCACAGCACAATGTTTGCCAGCATCCCATATTGGAGGGCCAATTCAAGTCCTGGATGTTCCACTCTGATCCAGCTTTGTGCTAATGAGCCTGGGAAGGCAGCAGATGGTTGTTCAAGTACTTGGTTCCCTACCAACCATGGGGAGACCTATATTGAGTTCCTGGCTCATGGCTTCAGCCTAGCCCAGCCCCAGCTATACTGCCTTTTGGGAAGAGAATCAGGGGGTTGATGATCTCTCACTCTCTCCCTCTCTCTGATGCTCTGCCTTTCAAATTGTAAGTAAATAAATCTGTTCTAAAAATAAAAATTTCCATATTTTGGTGGATATTAATTTTTCTGCTTGTATCTTGGTTTTATGTACTGTATATTATTAGATTGTTTGACTTATATAAGTCATGGATTTTATCCACTGTGTTCCCTACTGTTCATTTGTGATAGATGTAATGGGGTTTAACTGTGCTTCTTCATTTTCTATTAAGTTTTCTTGTACTGGTAAAATCTTTTCCTTTTTTTGACAGGCAGAGTTAGACAGAGAGAGAGAGAGACAGAGAGAAAGGTCTTCCTTCCGTTGGTTCACCCCCACCACCACCAAATGGCCACTACAGCTGGTGTGCTGCGGTGATCCAAAGCCAGGAGCCAGGTGTTTCCTCCTGGTCTCCATGTGAGTGCAAGGCCCAAGCACTTGGGCCATCCTCCACTGCCTTCCGGGGCCATAGCAGAGAGCTGGACTCGAAGAGGAGCAACTGGGACAGAACCCAGCACCCCAACTGGGACTAGAACCTGGGGTGCCGGCGCTGGCAGAGGATTAGCCAAGTGAGCCGTGGCTTCATCTCTACCTCTCTGTAACTCTGCCTTTCAAACAAATAAATCTTCAAAAAAGGAAGAAAAAAGAAAGTATACACTCAAGGAGTGTGGGTGTTCTCAAGAAAAGAGCTACACACAACATTTGGGTCCATCCATTTATATGATCTGTAGGCATAGGGAGTAGTGATTGGAGTGAATCTTAACTGAATATTCAAAGGGGTGAAATTTGGCGTGGAGCTTGAAAGCTACCCATTTCTTTGTACTTTTTGGAAATCTCAGAAGTGCCATGGCATCAGGTGCTTACCAGGAGTGGGAGTGTCAGCCATGGTAATTTTATTATAACGACCTTTACATTAGCTCAAGGTCATAGCAAGGAGGCAGCTTGCAGCCAGATTGGTTATTTTTAGCTGTTGCCAGTTCTAAGTAGTGAAACTGCAGAAGCTGTTTTCCATTGCACGGAATGGGTGGTGCAGGAGGGGGCTGCAATGCAGGCAAGGTTGCAGGGAAGCACCAGTGAACTCAGCTCTTCCTTGCTAGCCACCTCTCTGCCTATGTCAGTGTGTTAGCACTTCTTTAAATATGCAAGTTTCATCTATTTAAAAATAAACTAAAAATAAACATATGTAACCAAAATCTTGTCACGAGGTTTGGCAGAAGATAATTAAGTTTTTTGTTCCATATAGGACTAGATTGCTTACAATATAGTCTTTCATGGAATAGGGGTAGTCTTTTGAGCACACTCCATATTTGAAATTGTTATGCTGGTGCAATACCATACAAAGGGGGGGGGAAGAGATAGAAAATATTTTGAGTATAAACTAAAAGTTTTTAGAAATTGCTCTTTAGAAATTTCTGAGAAACAGGTTTCTTGTCAAAGTACTATGTGGTTGTAGTCCTGAAGTCACAAAAATAAAAGCTTTTACAAGTTGTCAGCAGTGTTGTCTAAAATTATTCGATTAAATTTCACAGAGTCTAGTTTTTTTATTTTTTTATTTTATTTTTTGACAGGCAGAGTGGGCAGTGAGAGAGAGAGAGACAAAGAGAAAGGTTTTCCTTTTGCCATTGGTTCACCCTACAATGGCCGCCATGGCCTGCACGCTGCGGACGGCGCATCGCACTGATCCGAAGCCAGGAGCCAGGTGCTTCTCCTGGTCTCCCATGGGGTGCAGGGCCCAAGCACTTGGGCCATCCTCCACTGCACTCCTGGGCCATAACAGAGAGCTGGCCTGGAAGAGGGGCAACTGGGACAGAATCCGGCGCCCCGACCGGGACTAGAAACTGGTGTGCCGTTGCCGCAGGCGGAGGATTAGCCTAGTGAGCTGCGGCGCTGGCCCATATTTCACAGAGTCTAAAGCTACCAAGAGATGTGGTCTGAAGGTTGTGAATACTAAATGCATAGTCTTTGGACTTGTCACACAGTAGGATGTACAAATTAAATGCAGGATTTTCTCCTTGTATGGTTTTTACAAGTTCATATTTTCAATGGCCATGTGATCAAGATTTTTTGAAAAATAAAGCATATGCAAATATTTGATAATAATGCCACCATTTTAAGAGATATAAGTAGTTATTTTAATGGATAATAGCTTGGCTTCTAATGATATTTCATAGTATGTTTCCGTAGAATGTTTCCAGCTTTTTAGGTTATCTCTCAGATGGTAGACGGACTGATCATTTTGCAGTATAGAAAATAACTATAAACCTGATTTCAGCTCAATTTAGAGGAAACAAAAGATTTACCTTGACCATCTGGACAATAAAATGTTAACAGTAACCAGCAGCAAATTCTAATGACAAACTTATTAATTATGAAAATCATTTGAGTTTCATAAACAGTTCCTGGGAAAAGACCTCAATATACCACATCAAGTTCTTGATTAAACCATTGAGATTATTGGTTTACTGGAGGGAAATTTAGCATATCCACTGCAACCCAGGCATACTGATAGGGGATTTGGGTATCCCAAGTAGTGTCTTAACCACTATGCCAAATACCTGTCCTTATTTGAGCATGAGGAAATTGATTTATTAGGGTCACATAGAGGTGAAAATGTTTTTAGGGTCTAATATCAAGGAATGGCAGAAAATAGATTTCAACTCAGTTTTCAGCTAAGAGCCAGCACTCATAACTGGAGTCGTAGGTATACAAAATTCATAATGTAAGAAAATTTAAGGTAAGGGCCATAAAAGAGTGAAGAAAAAGTGTCAAATCCATGTGATGAAAAAAGTTCTTTTTTTTTGGGGGGGGGGTAGATCAGGAAGGAATAAGAAAAGCAGTTTAGCTGTAAAGTACATAGGTGTTATTTAATGTATGGTTATAATTTTCATGATATAAAGTGGCTACAAAACTACATCTTAGATTAAATACTTACATTTTGTAAAAATAAACACAGCCAGAGAGAAAATGATGACAGGAATGGCACAATGTCAAGTGCACAACTTTCTTTTCAAAATAAATGTGTAATTATCAAGGGAGTTGTCAGAAAATATAAAACCAGAAACCTCAATTTTATTTATTCTCCATATCTACAATCTAAATCTTCACCTTTAGATTGAGATCTTTTAATTTTTTTCTTTCTGTGCTCACAATTAAATTCCCTTTTTGATAAGATGTATTCATTTATTTGAGAGAGAGAGAGAGACAGATCTTCCATCTGCTGGTTCACTCACCAAATGGCTGCAATGGCCAGAGCTGGTATAGGCCAAAACCTGGCGCCTCAAACTTCATTTAGCCTTCCATGTGGGTGTCAGGGGCCCAAGTACTTGGGCCGTCGTTTGTGACTTTCTCAAGCACATTAGCAGGGAACTGGATCAGAACTCCCATATGGGATGCCAGCATTACAGGAAGTGCCTTAACCTGCTGTGCCACAACAATGACCTCACAATTAAATTCTTAATCTAGATTGCATCAATTTTCTCATCCTCATTCTTCATTCTTATTGACTTTCTCACTACTTCCCTTCCCACAGTCAAAGCTATTTGTATATTCTGGCTAAAGCTATTCTTACTAATCACATAAAGCAAATCCTTTAATGCTTTTCACAGGAGAATAAGATTATTTTGCTTTTAATCTGGAAGATACATATTAAATGTTCCCTTAAATTTACATATCTATTGTCCTCTACATACTTCTGTTGCACTTTTCTGTATTGTAAGTTCTATACTTACACCTAAAAAATTGTATTTCTCTTCTTCAAGTCCTCATGAATGCTTTTTAAATTTCCTTTCTAAAGCATTTATTGATACACTGTTTTGGCTATAATCAGAGGAATAATGGAGTAGTTTAATTTCCTAGACAGTCAGCATCACTGATAATCACAAAGTATTATGCTATAGCACCCTCTTCCACGGTCATTATCGAAAACAAATGCAAATAAAATTCACATTTCCTTTTACTAGGCCATAAATTATCACTTCTGGGTTAATGTGATTCTAATACAAGATTAATATCTACTTCTGGGTTAATGTAGCAATTCTGTTACAGGAAGAAGTGGTAGAAGAAAAGTAAACTATTTTATGTAGATAATGAAACAGGCATTCTAGAGTTTTTTGATATTGTTCAGATTAGCTTACATGGTGCTGCTGTAACAAAAAAAGACACCAAATCTCAGTAGCTTAACACATAACGGTTTATTTCTCACTGTACAAAAACGTCCACTGCAAGTTCCATCAAGCTTTTTAGTGTGAGTCTCTTCCAATAGTGACTTAGAGTCACCTTGTATCCATCTTCTAGATATGCCACACAATGCTTTCAGGTGACTGTGGCAGGTAAAGAGAGAATTGGAGGGTCATGCAGGACGCTGTACTGCTCCAGATTGGAAATAATACATCAATTCTGTTTACAATCTCTCTGCTAGAAGTAGTCAAATGGCATTGCCTAACCACAGGGGGTTGGGAAGTGAACAGGAGCACATAGATTAATGATGGACTGTAAATGTCTTTGCCATATTCCATAAATAATATAAGCTTTTAAAAACATTTTAACTAACAATAATTTTGAAAAATTCTATATGGATACAAAATACCCCTAAAACATTGTAGCTTTTATCAACATATACATATAGATATATTTTTAGGAAATAGTTAAAGTTATGAAGCTCCAAGGTGATCCAACATGGTGTTACTGCAATGCTCCAAGAATTTTACTGGGAGATTTGGGTATTTACACTGCAAAAATCTGGGGAGTTATTATGCTATTTATTCACCATGTTTTCTATATTTATAATTTTATGAGTCAAGGGAGTTGAGATGAAATCGGCTAATTAAAAAACAATAGCTATTGAGCCTCTCATCATGACAAAATAGTTCGTACCTATGATATTATAATTAGTACATCCTCTGTAATAGGTGATTTTTGAGAAATAAATTTATAATTTATGTTACTCTGATATATATAAAATGTAAAGTAAAAATAATTTTCTAGCTATTTTAAGATTAGTGTTAAATATGAATCAGTAACAGACACAAGGCACCAAATCTTAGTAAAATATAGACACAGGAAGATTAATGACGTCATTATCATCTATATTTAACCTCTATTTCAATTCAGTATCAATGCTTAAGACAACAAACTTTAACAGCACACTTACTAAGATTTTGGCAGTAGTTTTATGTAACAAGACACAGAGAGTACTAGACAGATGGCACTCAACTTGCTTTCAGTAAACCAGCTTCAATATGAAGGCATTAGAAGGTTTTTGAAAACCTTCTTTTTACATGCTAAATATTTTGTCAAGTGTGCATTAAACAGTAATGAAATTAATACAGCATGATTAAGAAACTACAAACTTGACACTTGTATACTAAGCATAAATTATATTAAAAAGGGATTACTAGTTACAAAGAATATTGCTGGAAAATTAAAACCATATAAAATGTGCAAAAAAATTTCAGAATCTTTATTAATCAAAAAATACCAGGGACTATTTAAAATGATTCCCCTTGAAAATGTTATCAAAGTTAATTCAAATCATGTAATATGCTAATACTAAATATTATTCAGTACTGCACAGAGAACAGTGCTGAAGTGGAGGTAAATTTCAGAAATATGGGGGCTTACTCATGCTTGTAAATTGTTATCTTTGTTGTTCATAAAGCAGCACACAATAACATCCCAGAATTTCATTGAATAAAGAATGGATGGCTGCTGCACTGGCAAAAATAGAATGTGCAAGGATCCAAGGCACACTATTCAGCTAGCCAAAGTAATTAGCAAACACTCCCTACCCCCCAAGCCCTTTCCCCATGTAAACAAAAGTTTTTTTTAAGGAAAAAAGTAAAATAAACTGAACATCTATAACAGTAAGGATTTTGATATATCAATATTAAGTCTTTGCTTCAGAAATGTGAACTACAGTTGTCTGAATATATTTTGAAGATGTCTGCAAAAAAAATTAGATACATTTAACCTTAGAATCAATTTTTTTTGGTCAAAACAATCCATTATCTAAAACATTTTATTTTAATTCCAAACATTTTATCCACTAACATGACAACAGAGTTTTTACCTTCCAGAGGAATTAACCACTGGAAAGAAAGACAAAGAAACAAACAAAATCCTATATTTAAGCTGCAGGCAACAATTATGGCCCTTTCTGGCACAGTGGCTTTTTACTGGCATTTGAGTCCAGGAACAACTCTACTAACACAGGGAAACTCATGCGTGTTGGTAACTATGCCCTAATTTTCACAGTTGAAATTTCCTTTAGACTTTTTTTTAAAGGAAATCTTACTTTTTTTCTTGATGTCATCCTGATTTATGACTTGAACCAGACTTCTTTTTTTTCTTCTTACTGTGTTTCTTGTGCTGTTTCTTCTTCTTTTTCTTTACTTTTTCCATTGCTTTTTCTTGCTCTTCATGTTTTCTCTTCTTTTTTGCTTGCACTTCCTCTTCATAATCTGATTCTGATGAGGCCTCAGATGACAAAGGTTTATCCTCAGGATGAGTCTTCTTTCTTTTTTTGCTGAGGTTTCTAATATACTTTTCTTTCTCTGTTTCATCCTTTGACTTCTTTTTCTTTTTCACAGATTCTTTGCTCTCTGATTCTGATTCACACATAGAGCTTTCTGATGATTTGTATGAACGGCTCTTCTTTTTCTTTCTCTTTTTTCCTTGTTTCTTTTCCTCATCCTCAGATTCTGAACAACTGCTTGAAGAATCAGAGCTTGATGAAGGAGAGGACGAAGATTGACAAGATTTCCTCTTTTTCTTTTTCTTTTTTTCTCTTTTTTTGGATGAGTTCTCATTTCCACTCAACAATTTCTCTCTGCTTTTCTCAAGTTCTTTCTTCCAATTTTCATTCATTTTTTCTTCAAATTCAGCTAATGCCTTGGAACCTTTCTTTTTATTTTCCAATTGTTTCTTTACTTCTTCCCAGGTGGGCCTTGGCCGATTCAAATAATCTTGTATTGTTGGGCCTGCAGATTGAGTTGGGCCTCTCCATCTGGCCATGGCTATAGGATTCATATAGGCCACTCGATTATCTCGCTTCCCCATGATGCCTTATGGTTCCCAGAGTAGCTTATCAGTTGCAAAGCAGAATAAGGATAGACACTCTCCTTATTCTCTTTATCTGCTGGTATACCAAGCAGGCTCCATTCTGTGAAAGAAAGATGGAATGGTTACACAACTACTTTAACATAAGACAAAATAAACACATAAGCTTAATTATCACTGCCTATAATATAGTACAGCAGAGATTTCCAAAATCTTATGCTTTGGGAACAAACATTTAAGATTTATAAACACACATACTTTAAGATTGTTCCATATTATACGTACTGTGGTATGAACATAACACTAACTTAAAATGTCTTATTTACCTCCTGTAGGGCTCTGGCAAGTATGTAATATGTTTAATAAGTATTTATTTTTATATCATATGATATTTACCAATTTTCATTTCATTATTGCCTAATATGATATATCTAAAAAATTATAGAGCTAAAATCTGTACCAGGAGGACATTCTCCAGCTTGGGAAAGTGCAAAACAATCTACTCTACTCCTTTTGGTAGTCAAAATCTTAAAAATATTTTTCCCTTCAACTCTCACATCTAATCCATTACTAATTCTCCTGTTTAAATTTCCACAGTGTGTCTCATGTCCATTCACTTTTCTCCAAATATATTGTCATGTACATAGTCAAGGGTATTATCATCTCTCACTTGAACTATTAATCTCTAATATCTAAAGTGTTTATTATCTGTCAGGAAGCATTCAGTTCTTTGCAATGAATTATTCTTGTTCAATTCCTAGAATAAAACATACAAGGAGTGGCCACTGTTCTGCAAAGGGTAAGCTATTGCTTGGAATGCTGCATTCCCTATCAGATAGCTGGTTCCAGTACAGGCTAGCCTGTTTGTCACTGAGCTTCCTGCTAATGTATACTGGGAGGCAGAAATGGATGACTCAAATAATTGAGTCTATGTTACCCATGTGAAAAATCCAGATGGAATTCCTGGCTTCTGGTATTGGCCTGACCCAGCCTTGTTGCAGGCATTTGGGGAGTGAAACAGCAGATGGAAGGACTCTATCTCTGCCTGTCTGCCTCTCTCTTCCTTTCTCTCACTAGATGAAAATAAATAAACATTTAAAAAAACCTATAACATTGATCTTATTATTATCTCTATTCAAGTGTAACTTGCATAAATTAAAAGGACTAATAAATGGTGGAACCAAGTTTAAACCAAGGCAGCTTGATTCCAAACCCTAAACACATAACACAACATTATTATATCTCTTCATTATATCAACCTCTGAATTGGTAGTCCTATTTCTGCCTGTACTTCCTTCTATTCTAGTCCCACATTACAATCAGAGGATATTAAAACACTCCAGCTGCTTTACATCTTAAGGAACATTAATCAAAACTCCTTTATACATCCCATATTATCTGCTCTGTTTCTCTCTCCTACTTTCATTTATAGTCACTCACCCCTTTTCTCAATTCCATCGCCTTATCTTCTCTTGATTCTTGGAATAAGCTGAATGCCAAGCTTAACCAACATGGTCAATTCAACCTCATTCTTCAGATCTCAGCTTAAATGTCAATTCTTCAGAAGGGCTACTGTTGAGCTATATATAAACTGGTCAATTTTAAAGGAGACAAATAGTTCAAATACCAACAAATTCATACGGCTCAACCTGATACTAAAGTAGGCTGATTTTCTGTCTGCCACTCATCCTGATCTTTCTGTACTCTAGTTCCTCATTTTTTATTCATAGCACTTATTAAATTGGTAATGATTTTATTTGATTATGTGTCTGTGTATATATTTGTGTGTGTATTCACTGGTAAATGTAAGCTCAACGAAGGTAAAAGACCATGTTTGACCCATCTTATTCACCACAGTACATAACACAGCATCTGTCCCATACTGAGCACTCAACAAATGGTTGTTCAATAACAAACAAACACATGAATAGATGGGTAGATGTCTGAGTAACTATGGGAAACAGAAGCATTCAGAGGGAGCCTCTAAGATGTGGTGATGTTTGTGAAGGATTTTGAAGGATGAACAGAAATGCACCTGTAAATGAGAAAATGAAGGACATTCCTGGCATAGGAAATGACATGTGAAAAAAATAGGAATAGGAAACAGCACCAAAATTTATTCAGTGTTGATGGAGGTCAAACAGCTAGATGGTAGGGGAAAGAGGTATGGCTACATAAACAAGAAGAAGCCTTATTATGGATGCACTCCTGGGTCATTTAAAAATCTTAAATTTTGCCCTATTATTGATAGGAGAGACAACAAATTCCCTTAAATATAAGAAAAAGACAGTCAGACATATCACAGATTTTCAGACTGCATCTTCAGTGTGACCCTTTAAGTCAACCTAACATACCTACCCCTCATGAGCTTAATGCAACTGACATTTACGTGCTATAGACATTTCACTGACTCTTGGTGACAGTTTCCTGCATACGATTTGTGTTCTTGATCTTATTCACCTTCCCGCTTAGTTCTGTCCAGCTCTTCTTTAGGTCTTTCTGTCATTTTCATTTTTACTTGTACACTAAAGACCTGTCAAGTATCATCATTTCCCAGACTTGACCTTCAAAAGTCCTTGAGGACTTTAGTTCATATTCAACTTGCTGATTCTTTCTGCTACTTGATACTTGGAATAGCATAATCCATTCTAATTTCAGTTCTTTGAGACTCAATCCTGACATCAGTTAAAAATCCAGGCAAAGGCCAGATCACAAAGGCATTGGATGCTATGGTAAGGAGTGTGAAATTTAGTCTTTGGGACTTGGAGTAAAGCTATGGGGAGATTTAACTTTAAGCAGGAGAGTGACATGGTCATATTTGAGTATTTAAGAGATGATCATTTACAGAGTGAAAGGTGGACTGGAATCAGGTACAACTGAAAGCAATGAAACTACTTACTTAATCATATAGATGAGAGTGAAAGAGTCTGAACTAAAACAGTAACATTGTGAATAAGAGTGGAAAATAAATGAGACATGGTGAGATTTCTACTGAAACTGGTAACCAATTGGACGTGAAGAATGAGAGAGAAACAGGGATCTAGAGCAAGGGTCTGGCTTGAGACACTAGATAAATGGCAACACCAAAGGCTAAGTAATATAGGAAGTGACATGGATTTTGAGAAAACATGCTAGGTTCCATTTTGGACCTGTATAGAGTTTAAAGTGCCTGTGAGACAGCTGAATGAATCTCCATAAATTTATTCAAAATTAGATAAATAATTGTTGGAATTCCAGAAAGTGACCTGACAGAGATATAGGATTGCCAGTCACTGAGTGATGGATGAAATTATGAGAGAAAATTACATTACCCAGCAGGAGGAATTTAAATGAAAAGAGGTTTGACGTTGGATCCAATTAAACACCAACATGCAAGGGGCTGACAGCAAAAGAAAAGCCTACAAAGAACACTAGGAAATCAGCCAAAGCTGCAGGAACTAGACTAGGAGGAGGAAGCAAAAGTGAGAGTCACAGAAACACAGGGCGAATAAAGTTGTAAGTTAATGACAATAATTCTCATGACTCTGTAATGTTTACAGTGTTATTTGAAAAAAAAAACAAGCAGATATTATATTTACCCTTAGAAAATGCAGAAAAAGGAAAGAAATTATGTAAGGGCCCACGCGGTGGCGTCAAGGGTATAGCTGTTGCCTGCAATGCTGGCATCTCCTATGGGCGCCAGTTCGTGTCCCAGCTGCTCCACTTCTGATCCAGCTCTCTGCTATTGCCCGGGAAAGCAGTAGAAGATGGCCCAAGTCCTTGGGCCCCTGCACCCATGTGAGAGACCTGGAAGAAGCTCCTGGCTCCTGACTTCGGATTGGCTCAGCTCCAGCTATTGTGGCCAATTGGGGAGTAAAACAGTGGATGGAAGGCCTCTCTTTCTCTCTCTCTGCCTCTCCTTTTCTCTCTGTGTAACTTTCAAATAAATAAATAAATAAATAAATCTTTTTTAAAAAAATTATGTCATAGACAATAGTAATCTTAATGTAACAGATAGGTCAAGTAAAACAAAGATCTGAAAATATCTATTACACTTAGCTGATAACGTTCACTGACAACGTTCACAATTTCAGTAAGTGAAAGCAGAAGCCAGATGACAGTGGCTTAAAGATTTAATGGGAGGTAAAAACCTGGAGGTCTAGAATACACAGAGTCAGTTGACAAAGATGCAGAGTTAAAGAAAATTATTTTTTGTTGTTGTTTGTTTTTAGCATGGCAGAAACTTCAGCATATTCACAGGGCATCTAGAAGTAGAAAATACAAAGAAAAAAAAATTAAAAATGTAGGTAAGAGGGGGAATAACTGATGTGGCAGGAGCACAGACAAGAATTAAAGAAAGAGTATGTTTGTAGTTCTTTTTTTTTTTTTTTTGAGGCTGCTGAGAGAGAGTAAATGTTTCTCATATAATAGCCTTTGTTTTCATTCAATTGTGGGTGCCAAGATCATCTGAAAAGATTAATACAACACAGGAATGTTTTAGATTAATAAATAAAATTAGGAACAACAGCAGAAGGGAATGAAAGAGATTGCTGACACCAGGTAAGTATAGCAATCTGTCAGAACTGAGAATCTATTTGCTCCTTTACTTAAAGATGAAGCTCATTGAGAAAAGAGAAAAAGTAAGAATAACAAAGTATTTCATTTTAAGATTTATTTATTTGAAAGGCAGAATTACTAAGAGGGAGGGAAACACACACACACACACACACACAGAGATCTTCCATCTATTGGTTCACTTGCTAAATGGCTGCAAGGCTGGGGCTGAGCCAGGCCAAAGTCAGGAGTCAGGAGCTTCATCCAACTCTCCCACATGGATGGCAAGGGACCAAATACTTGGGTCATCTTCTACTGCTTTCCTAGGCACATTAGCAAGAAACTGGATGGGAAGTGGAGCAACCCAGACTCAGAACTGACACCAACATGGGATGCTGGTGTTGCAGGTGGTGGCTTCACCAGTGGCACCACAAGGCTGGCCCCAATGAAGTATTCCTTAAATACTCTTTGGTTTGAAAGTATTATGGCTTGCCTCTCTATTTCGATTATAGAACAAAGAGAAATGTGATTCTCTGTATTTCTATTCATTTGCATGAAATATGCTAATAT